GCAAGTTGTCTTCACCACATCTAGATGCCTAAATGCATTGAGTTGCTACCATGTGATTGGCTGATTAGCAATTTGTGTTACCAAGCAATTGAACAGGTGTACCTAATAAAGTAGCCGGTGAGTGTAGGTAGACTCCTTGATACCGAGACATGTAACTTTTGTGTTTTGACCTTGACCTATTGCACTTTTGTGAAGTTTGTGCATGTGCACCCTGCCCTCTTATCGATTTGTTCTTATTTATGAGAAATATCCTTAATGTATGAATGTCAGTATGTTTCCTATTTTTTTTTTTTTTCTTTTTTACTTTTTTTTTTTTTTTAATTTCTGGAAGTGTTAGGCATCTTATTTTGACATGTATGGAATATGAACATGACACTTTATCTTTTGGGATCCTTACTATACTGTACATTGTAGTGACCCATTTGCTGTATGCCTTCTTTCCCACCTGTGCCTTTTTTTTGTTGTATCTTTGAAAAAAGGTTATAAAATGACCCTTTAAAAAAAATTAGGGGAAACCTTTTACAGTAAGAACAGGTGTCCCCAATGGAAGGTATCCTCTCTTCTCCTGTTCCAGCGACAACTGTGCTGTTTTGTATTCCTCTTTACTTTTCTTATCTACTGAAAATGACTAAAGGCAAATGAGAGGAAATCGCCCAAGTGGGGACCAAGACTTTGACAGACGATCTAACTCTAACTAAAAAAGGCTAGAATTTTTTTAATCTGACACAGCTTTTTTTTTTTACTGCAGCCTGGCCTTCAAAATGCCTACACACAAACATTCCCATGCATGGAAGAACCCAGAACATTGTTTGGTGCAGTGAAAATTTAATTCAAGTTTATTGAATGTATATACATGCCACTTAAACAGAAAAAGGCACTAGACTGTTTACATTTCATGTATATAATATATATCATTTTGATAATCTATGGAAAGAAACTGTTTAACATATGACCTACCCATCAAAAATGCCAGCCAAACCCACTTATGTAACCCTCTAGGCATCCAAACTCCTGTGAATTTCTAGAAGATAATCTTATCTCTTACTAACAATAAGTTGGCTGGGTATGGGAAAAACCAGCATTTCCCATGCTTAATACCATAAACAATCAACATCTCTTACACATCCACGCATTTCTGTTTGACCCTCTACCAAGCTGTAGGAGCTGAGGGAAGCAAGACTAACTACTGCCAGTCTTATAACCTGGCTGAAGCCACATTCAGATTCTCCATCAATATACACGGTGTACCTGCCAATGCCCAGGTTGCCTCCTCTTTGTACATTGTGTATCTACCTTCCTTTCTGTGTTCTGATGTTCTTCTGTGGTTTTAGAATGTCTACACATATCCCAAGAGATACTGATGACCAACGAATCTTATAACTTGCTGCTGGCCAACTCCTCCTTCTTCAACCTGGAGTTCTACAGGTAATGAGTCTGTGCCTCTTCTTGCTGAAGCTCCTTTATATCTTATATCAGTAGTATAAAAGCTCTCTTTTTATTGCAGGCTTATTAAAGTGGAGATCTCCTTCAAGCTGAAAGGCATTGATCTTCAAACCATACGGGTCCGTGAGCTACCAGACTGCTATGTGTTTCACAACAAGGCAAGTCTCGAGAGTAATTTTGACATGGAAGCTTGGTGTAATATGAAAATGTATTTAAAGTAGTGTAGTGGATTGTGATAGACAGTCCACGTTTTATTTGATGATCAGTAAAATAACAATTTTATAGTCTTGCTACTTTCTGCTTCTTTCTCTTTAAAATTCCTTACTCTCTTAAGTAAACAATCAGATATAGGTTGACAGAACAATGATAATTAAGATGGCGCCTTCATCCAGAGTCTCACCCTAGGTGACTCATTAGGAGAAAAGTATCTTTTAATGTAAACAACCCCCATAAAAGGGAATGAGTCTTTTTGGGGAAAATGATTGGAAGATATCAACACGGGTGCAAGAACACGCAGAAACCCAGTGGACTTTTCACCCAATCAATGTATATGCTTTGCCTGCATCATAAGCCCTATAAATGATACTGTTAGTTCCTCAATAAAACAGAATTTTAAGAAGTTGACAAACTGCAACAGTGACAGTGTCTTTCTTCCACGTGCACGTAATTCTATATTAATTTGGCTCACTGGTAGATCACGGTAAATGGTCTGTAAGTGACCGAGTCCAAAACAGTAGTATGCTGTGGCATTTAAAGGTTTGAACACCCCAGTCAAATTGTGCATTCTGCTGGTTTTCAACGTTAAGTGACCACAATTTTTTTTCTTTAGAATTGAATTGAGTGGAGAGTGGTTTGAATTCCTGTGGTCCCCCCTCTGAACCATTGTGGTCTCAGAAATGTCTCCTACCGTGGGATTTCTACCAAGTGTGTTTGTTCCCAGCACAGGGGACCTTTTCCCTCTACCATTCCACAAAAATACCTCCTAGATGGCTTGTGTCGTTGGTCCCAAACATCTTGTGGTGTTGGGAAACTGTAGCATGTTTACAGGTACACTTTGTTGGTGTCACGTACCTGGATAGTGAGCCTGACGTGAAGAGGCAGGCCTCCCGTACAACTCCGGCTCAAGGACCGCTGATGGTGAGACAGCGGTTGCAGGGGCACGGTGGGGTATGAGTGTGATCAATCCAGTAATAGCTGATGAGCTGATGAGTTGTAGGCAGGGAGCAGGGTACTGATGTAGCCGTGCTGGATGGATGGATACTCGAGAGCTGCGTGCTGAGGATGCAGGGTCAGACGAGCCGGGTTCGGTATCGGTCAGGCAGATCAGGGTTAAGCGGCAGGAGGAAGAGTAGCTAGGTCAGCAATGGAAGATCAATCAGACAGGAGCGGAGAAGAATAATCCAAGACAAGCCAGAGGTCAGGGCAGGTAGCGATCACGTGGAGGTCAGGAACAGGCTGGTTCGGTATCGGAGACAATCACAGGAATTGGGGAACACGAGCAGGGAAAAGACCATACGGCAATGGGACAACTACTGCAGCCAGTTTAAATAGCCCTTTTGGCGCCAGCATTAGTGACAGGCGTGCCCGTATGCACGAGTGCACATGTGCGCACCTATGTCCAGCTGCCTGCACATCTTTTCGGCTCGTAAGGACTCTACGCATATTTGTGCGCCGCGGAACTTCACCTGCACTATGGGCAGGCCTTTCCTGACAGATGGCATCTGAAATGTTGCTTCAGAGTTTCATCTGGCCTGCAGCTAACCACCTTCTAAGTCGCATCAACCTACTTCAAGCTTGCGTTCCCATTGACCACAATTTTTTTTCTTTGGAATTGAATTGAGTGGAGAGTGGTTTGAATTCCTGTGGTTTCCCCCCCCCCCCTTCTGAACCATTGTGGTCCCAGAAATGTCTCCTACCGAGGGATTTCTACCAAGTGTGTTTGTGCCCAGAACAGGTGACCTTTTGTCTCAACTATTCCACAAAGAAACCTCCTAGATGGCTTGGGTCGATAGTCCCAAACATCTTGTGGTGTTGGGAAACTGTAGCATGTTTACAGGTGCACTTTGATGGCATCTGAAATGTTGCTTCAGAGTTTCATCTGGCCTGCAGCTAACCACCTCCGAAGTTGCATCAACCTACTTCCAGCTTGCGTTCCCATTGACCTGTATAGTGAAAAAAAGCATCAAACAAAAGCCTGTGTACACAATCCTATATTGGTCAGCCAGGGAGGCTTTACAAACGACAGATGCAAACTTAAATTCAAGTCCTCTAGTTCTTTGTAAAGCTCACACCCTACTTCCAAAATATAACTCACTTTTATGTTTGAAAACTTTTTGGCACAATTTGGTGCTGTTTGTTACTTTTTTTATTTTGCCTATAATTTTAAAAGGCCTATAATCTTTCCTATTAAATATCACCTAGGCTTTTTGATTTCTTGCCCAAAAATCAGGGGGCACACAGTGCCTAGATTGGGATTGCTGCAACGGTGTACAGTAATTTGTTTCTAGATAGGGGCTGGATGGTATAATGAAGTAGACTATAGTTTACATTTTAACTGCCCATATATGGTGTGTGTGCCTGAATAATGGAGGCGGAGATATTAGATTAGATGCTCCTCTAGGGTGTGGACTAATGCAAAATGCTTCTGGGTATTCTGTAATGCTTGGTCAAATTTGATGACACTGTTTAATGAAAAAAGTAAAAATAGGTCAAAATTGCACTTCACTACGTACCTGTATATATTATTAGAAAGGCCGTTCTTATTAGAAGTGACATGAGATTTGTATATACGCAGTTATAGATACAGAATAAAACAATTAAAATTGATTTTGTATAATTTAGCAGAAAGTCACTTTTATAGCTAATTAACTGATTTTGTGCCTCCAATTTATATATTTGTAGTCCTATATTGTGACTGATTCAATTTATTTATAAAGCAGTTTAATTTATTTTTTTTTACCATTCTTTCTTTGTTTGCTAACAGATAACATTCGATAATCAGGCTCATAGTGGAAAGGTGAAGATCTTCTTTGATAGTGATGCTACTATTCAGGAGTGCAAGGATTGGCATATATCTGGTTCCAGTGAGTCAAATCTTAAAATACTGTAATTTGTGTTCTGCCACAAGCATGTCGTCATTCCCAAGTTTAATCAGAATTTTTCCATACCTGAAAATAAAATACTAATATAGCCTACATTTGTTAATGTTTTATCCTGGTGGCAGAATTATCCCATCAGTCAATAAGTCCACTATGGATTCTAGAAATATATACATGTTTTTGTATATTTTGAAAGACTATTAGCCACTTGCCCTCCAAAGGATTTACCCCCCTTCCTGACCAGGCCATTTTTTGGTGTTACGGCGCTGCATTACTTTAACTGACAATTGTGCGGTCATGCAACGCTGCACCCAAATTAAATTTCTTTCTTTCGGTGGTATTTGATCCCCTGTGCTTTTTTTTTTTTTTTTTTTTTTTTTTTTTTGCACTATATAAAAAAAAAAAAAAGACCGACAATTTTGAAAACGATATTTTTTACTTTTTGCTATTTAAACATGTCCAGTAAAAAAATTCAAAAAATCTAACTTCATCATAAATTTAAACCAAAGTGTATTCTGCTACAAGTCTTTGCTAAAAAAAAATCCCAATACATGTAAATGAATTGGCTTATGTGAAAGTTATAGTGTTTACAAATGGTGGTGTATATATACTGGAATTTTTTTTATTTTAATTTTTTTATTTTTACTAGTGGCGGCGATCAGCGACTTGTAGCAGGACTGTGGCGGACATTCCGACATGGGGGGAACTTATTATTTTTGAACAAAAAGTGTCGTCCTGTGCTCCCTGTTAAAGATTGGCACCTTGGGGGAGCGGGTACACGATTTTGACAGGTACCCGCTCCCACTTCTGCTGCGACCGCCTAGGTGATCGGCAGCCGAAGTTCTCCTCCACGCCCCAGTCTTCTAGGATGCGGGACCATTCACAATCCGCAGCACCACTTACACATGCGCAGTGGGCACCCGGCTGTGAAGCCGCAAGCTATAACAGCTGGGTGTCCACACTTAAGATGCTGGAACCTACCTGCGGGGAGGACACCACTGCATCATAAGACAGGTCAGTGGTTGTTTTTTTTTTTTTTTTTTAAGTCCGCAACAGCAGAAAGATTAGTCTCCTGCATGCAAGTGAAGTAACCTAGTTGATGCATGAAAGATCATATGAAGAATCGCTTCTAGCCTTGCTGCTCTTTAGGACTGGGGGTGTCCTGTAACAACTAGGAGAAAACCAAGAGAGGGGGCGCACCAGCCTAGTGCATTATCCAAAAAATATTTCATATAAATCCAAATTAAAACTACTCACAAGCATAGAAGAATATACACTCATCAAGCCATACTTTCATGGCCAAATGGAACAATATCCCAAGCACAGAGGGGCCACACCGGGGTCCCTAAAAGCTGACCTGTTTTGAAGGTGTACCCTTCTTTCCAGAGCTCTGAGGAAGGAGGATAAACTTTTGAAATGAGTCAGCCTTCAGAGACCCCGGTGTGGCCCCTCTGTGCTTGGGATATTGTTCCATTTGGCCATGGGAAGGGTAGCTTGATGAGCGTATATTCTTGTATTCTTGTGAGTAGTTTTAATTTTTGGATTTGTATTAAATATTTTTTTTTTTGGAGGGGGGTTAATGCACTAGGCTGGTGCGCACTCTGTTGTTTTTCTCACATTTATTGTAGCTGCGGACGTATATTTTTTTTTTCACCTGGAACCAGGGGCGGACTGACAACTCATGGGGCCCCCGGGCAATAGGGGATCATGGGGCCCCTGTGTCCTTGCCCAAACTCCAAAAAAGCCTATGAAAAATGTACCATGGGCATCTCATGGGGCCCCCTACTGACCCCGGCCCTTGGGCAGTGCCCGAGTTTCCAAATGGTCAGTCCACCCCTGCCTGGAGCTCTGCTTTAAGTTAAAAAGAAAACACAAAAAAAAAAACTAATGGTTTAATATGCCTATAAAAGGGGAAATCCATCCAGCCATTGACAACTGTTGACTATGGGTTTTTCACTCGCCCTTTGTGTGTCTGAATTGCTACACATGGAGAAACAAATATAATGCTTCAACAGTCCTAAAAATACAAATTTAGTTTTCATTTGAGAACCTTTTTACAAATGATGTGGACTTCTCGCAGAAACAACATGGCGGATCTGTGTTTGGATTCTCTTGCAGCTCAGAAGAACACTCACTACATCCTGGTGTTTGATGGCTTTGTTATCCTGACCTGCTTGACGTCTCTCATTCTGTGTACGCGTTCCATTGTCCTGGCTATAAAACTACAAAGAGTAAGTACTAATAGATTGAGTCACAGAGTTCTTAGTCTCAGATCTTGTTTTCTGAGCAAAGCCGGAGTTCTAAAATTCCTCGGTGCCTCGATTTTTGAATGGCTTTTTCAGAAAATCCTAGATGCCAGGCTGATCCAGGGGTTTCAGAACCAACATTTTCTCAGTCAGTAACACAGAACAGTATAGGTATTGTATATGTTTTCCTGGCGAGTGATTCAGTAATGTCTGATTGCAGACACAGCCAGACAGCACAGTGGCTAAATGGTTAGCACTTCCACCTGGCAATACTGGGATCATTGGTTCAAATTCCAACCTCAAGCTCTACCTGCCTGGAGTTTGCATGTTCTCCCTGTGCCTACGTGGGTTTCCTTCAGGTACTCCAGTTTCTTCCCACACTCCAAAGACATGCTGGTAGGTTAATTGGATCCTGTCTAAATTGGCCCTAGTATGTGTATGTATGAATGTGAGTTAGGGACCTTAGATTGTACGCCCCTTGAGGGTTAGGGACTGATGTGAATGTACAATATATATGTAAAGCGCTGCGTAAATTGACAGCGCTATAGAAGTACCTGAAATAAATAATAAACCAGTGTTTTCAGAAAGACGTTGACATTGACATCCTATGTATTTTTTAGTACAGTCTTCCTATACAGCCCAATGAAATCCAAAAGGAGCAAAAGTTGCTGATTGCTGAGCTGTAGTGCTGACATGTCAGACTGCTGAACAAACCCAACCGTTCTCATACAGAGGGGAGCAATATTTTGAGCAGAGCGCAGTTTATTATGGATTTGCAGCCGATGCAAGGAGAAAAAGGCCTGTAAGGATTAAGGACTGGACCGTTCAAAGCTTCTGCCCTATTTGTACATGGACTTCAATTGAGCTTTAAAGGACAACTTCAACTTTTAAAGTGTTATTAAACCCACAAGAGTAAAATCAGTCTATATATACAGTAAAGCATGCTTGTCATACACACTGTGGAACCTAAGGGGTTAATCACTGTATAAAAAGGATATTTTGAGCCTGTCTTCTCTGATCCTCCACCTTCTTCCACAGTCCCCAATCCATCTGCTGATAATACAGAGCTCTAGGAGGCACTCTGCACATGCTCAATTTAGTCTGTATGGGTAGAGATTTTTTTTTTCTCTTTTGGGAGGGTGCATGTGATCAACACAGGGCCAATCAGCATTGTCCAGACAGAGGGTCAAGGGTTATGCAGACTCATAGGACTGTCAGAGAAGAAAGGAAAACTCCTCCTACAAGCTTTAACCAGTGCTCTGCAGGACACTAAAAGAAGCACACGACTGATCTAACTGCTGATTAGAAAAGGTATTTAGCAGTTTTTGTTTACTAAAATAATTGCATTTCCATGTTGTGTGTACTGTGGGAGACCGGATATAGTAAATGCAGGGTCATAGGTTTGGTAACGCTTTAATGGAGTTGGCTTTTGATAAATTTGACCCCCTCATCCCCGGAATGCAGTGCACCTGAGATAATACTTTAAATTCCTCCCCAATCCAGCCATTATTCCTTGACATGGTCCCAGCCAGTTATTTTTTATACTATTCATCTATTTTACAGCCCCATTTAATCCAATGGGCAAACCTTACTCCTGCAGACCGCCATAAGTGGAGCCATTATTATTAAAGGTATTTATATAGCACTGACAATTTATGCAGTGCTGTATATATGATCTATATTGTACAGTCACATCAGTCCCTGTTCTCAAGAAGCTTACAATCTAAGGTCCCCCAACTCACATACATACATACATACACATACATACATACATACATACATGCACATACTAGGGCCAATTAACCTTCCATGCAGGCACAAGGAGAACATACAAGTCTATGCAGGTAGTGCCGTGGTTTAGATTCAAACAGACAGCCCTGGTACTGCTAGACAGAAGTACTAACCATTTGAGCTGATTCGCACATGTGTGGTGCGGATTGAAACTCAGGTTTCACAGCTAATTGACACAGTAGTTGTTCAGCAGTTTAGGTCAGGTTTAGGTCAAGATCTTATCCTGTTCACACATGTGGTTTAGAAATGGTTACCATAGACGTCCATAGTCTATAATCTGCACCTGAAGTGGACCGCACTGCTCAGAAATTGAACATGACTCTTTTTCAGTCTGCACTGAATCCGCACAGCCAGTGCACCGGACATATGTAAACAGGCACCATAGGAAGCAATGTTATTTCACATGTCATGCAGATTTGGATGCGGTCAAACCGCATCCAAATCCGCATATATGTGAACCGGCACTTTGTCACGATACCATTTGCTCATCTGCATCCATAAAAAAAACCTTGCAGAAAAAAAATTTGGATACCTACTGTAAGATGGGGATAGGGTAACCAGAGATGTTTCAAGAGCACATAGCCAGATAAAGGGTGCAGCTATTCCTTTGATTAAAAAAAAAAAAGCTGCAAGAGGGTTCATAAAATTGTAGTTGCTTATACATATCTATATACATATATCTAAATCCAGAATTAAGGCTTAGTGATTGAATTAAATTTTTTGTACCAAGCATTTTACAGAGAATAAAGAGACTTCTGTTGTAAGTTGCGTAAAGGTGGTTTTGTCAGTACTGGAAGGAGTTCTTTACAGTAAGAGAAGAATAGTTGCAGAATGGCATAGTACCTGATGGAAGGATAGCAATACCAGCAATGGAGGTTAAAAATGGAGAAGATGTTTTTCTAACTTCTATTTGTATTCAGTAATATTTATATATCATAGTTTTGATCATATATTTAATCAGACTGCTGTTCATACAGTTGGGGAAGGATTTTTTTTTTTTTTTGTTACTTTTTTGCTTTGTGAATGAAAATTGATCATTGCAGGAAATGTTTGCCTTCATATGGACCAACACTGCTAAAAACTTTACAAGTTTACATAAAATTAACTGATGGCAGTCAAGCTCAGCCTATCTATGTATGCATGTCACAGGGTTAATTGGGCCAAAATCTGTACATACAAAATTGTAAACTACACTTGGTTGCAGTTTTTTATTTAAATCAAATTCAAGGTTCTTTTATTTGCTGACAGAAAAGAGCTTGTCATATAATAAGAGAACTGTTATTATGAATTGTAGATTGTAAGCTCCCAGGATCAGGGCCCTCCTTTCCCTCTTGTATTGAACTGTATTGTTGCTGTATTGTCTCCCTTTATATTGTAAAGCGCTGAGCAAACTGTTGGCGCTATATAAATCCTGTATAATAATATAATAATGCAATTTCATTTAGACGAGATCTCATTTACCTTGCAGAGTTGTCAGA